CTTTTATAAATGGAGCTTTTCACGGCAGGAAAGTAATGAATGAGTTTTAAGCATGCCCATAAATGCAATTTTTCGAGACGTCATCTGCAAAATCCATTTATTTGAGGTGCCCTCCACCCCCCGGTTTATTTTAATAAATGCTGTAATTTTCTATTATAAAATGAGATATTTTTTTGCCTCCAGGGAGTCCTTTCATTTGCATGTGTCCATGTGTGTGCCCGGGTGACATTTCGGAGGCTTTTTTTAGGGGGGGGGGGGAGCATGGGAGGAGGAGGAGGAGGAGGGAGGTGAGGAAGGAAAACCTTGGCCTCAGCAGCTCCCGGCCTTTGCTCACCACCTCCCTGGGGGCATGGGAACAGTAAGGTCATTTCTCAGCTCCAGAGCTGTCAAACCACCCTGCGAGGTTAAAAAATGCAAATGTATGCAAATGAAGTACCTAGGCTGTTTCTCTTCCTTTTCTCCCCCCCCATGTAGATGACACAGATCACCTTCAATTTTACCAGCATCCTCTAAAGTTATTGGCTTGCCCAAGTGCTGCGGTTAACAGAGCCGCATCTCCAGAGGATCAGGAGGGGAAAAGAAAGGAAAAGGAGTCCATTTCCACCAAAAGGAGCTGTACATCATTTCAGTTTAAAATCACATACCCCTGATCTCTTAATTTCTTTTTTTTCTTGCTGCCGAGTGAATAATCTAAAAATTGAGGAGGATGCGGTTCAGTGTCTGGGAAAAACCTCTATAAAAAACAATTGTCAGTGTAGTCTAATATTCTGCTTTTCTGATCTTTGGCACTTAGGGTGATCTGGTAATAAAAAAATCAAAATAGATCCATAGGAAGACACGTTCCTTCATGTAAAGAGCTCCTTTAACACTGATGCTCCTTCCAAACAAAAATAAACAAGTAGAAGAGAGCTACAGCAACAGAAATTTAATTGCTCGTGCTTGTTATTAAGGACACATTGGATTTATTTTCATTTATGGGCAATTTTCAGGGAAGATCGGATCCGGAGCCAGTTGGGGTGGTAGAGGAGCGTAGCTGGTTAACATGGCGAAGCACAGCACACTCTAATGAATCAATTTGTTTCCAACAACGGACATAATTAGCATGGAGTTAATGAGCACGCTGGGGGATGCAGGGCTGGAGCATCATCCCTTGGTCAAAAATGTGGGTGGCTAAGGCTGGGGGTGCAGCGCTCAGAGTTGTGTAATTCCTGGTTCCTCTCTCCATCTCTGGGCATGAGGAGGAGGTTGAAGACTTCTCATGGTGGGGGCTGCTCTCCAGCCCCCCACGAGGTTTCCCTGGCTCAGGGACAGCTTGTCCCCCGTCCCAGTGCTGGTCCCAGCAGGCTGGTGGTCTAGGATGATGCTCCAAGGTCTCATCTGGAGATTGACCCTGCAGAGGGAGGAGAAGGGAGACAGCATTCTCCTTCCCATGGGAATGTTTGCTGCTGAGTCTGATCCCCCAAAGGCTCCCAACCTCCTCCAAGGGTCACTTCCCTGGACAACCTCCATCAGATCAGGCTCTTTCCATCCCCAAGGGCTGGAGGCATGTGGTAGGGTGGGAGCTGGCCCCACACAGCAGAGCAGGTGGTAGAAAGGAGGTTTGGAGTCAGCACAGCCAGAAGCTGAGCAAGGAAGGACACCCAGGACATGGCGATGGATCCCGAGAGACACAGAGGTGGCATGGAGCAGGACTGGGAACCCTCCTGATGGTCTAAGCCTTGCCAAAGGGGCCGGAGCGGGGCTGCAGTTTTACTTGTGCATACCCTAGGCTCTCTTGGAGATCAGGCACTTGGCTGTGAGATGTCTACTTGCGGCAGGGCCAGGAGCCGAAGCTCGTACAGGTGACAAAGCTCCATGTCCTGGGGATTTCCAAAGGGTTTGTGTATTCAAAGGCATTTGGGCTGTTTGATGTATCCTGTGTGTGATGAGATTAATGTATGCATTGGAAGTCACTATCCTTTCCTGGGATTTCTCATGTGGAAGGGCTGCTGGAGCCATGTGAAAGAGGAAACATCTTACAGATTTAAAAAAAATGGCAAAAAAATATATCAGGTTTTCCTTTTGGGTGTGGGCTTTTTGCTTCCGAATCTCCCTTTGAAGGTGGAGCTGTTCTGGCAGGGGAAGGTGTCTCCCAGATGTGCAGGGCATTTGACACCATGGTAACAAGTCCAAACAGGATTGGGAACAGAGCAAGCTCAGCTCATGGGTGAGGACAGCAGCCAGCCATCTGCCTCTGGCTAAGCACTTGCTCCCTGGTTATGTTCCTGGTTGTCTTTCTCTGAGTGTTTTAGGTACAGTGTGACACACAACTCCTTGCTCGCCTCCTCCATTCCCAGATCCCTATGTGGGTTGTCCACATGCTGAGGTGACATGGGGTAGCTTCCAGGCGTGAAGGAGCAGGAGGACACAGGACTGGAGACCTGCTGCTCCATAAGGACCACTCTTCTGCTGCATCAAACAGCCGTGACCAGCAGTCCCTCCTATTTGGGATGTCCCCAAAACAATTGCATAGATGAGATAGGCACTCCCTGACTCGTCTTGTTTAAGCAGTGTAGGTGCTGGCACACGGCGGCATGAAGCAATGCAGCATCATCCTTGCCCTACATAGCTCCTGAAAGGGCAAATCCAACATGTGTCTGGAAAGATGTTGGCTCTGGGAGGATGTGGAAGAAATGTGATGGGGAGGGAGTCATTGCACAAGGTTCCTGGGGGAGAGATGTGAAAGAGAAGAGGGAACTTGTGGTGGCTATGAAAAGGTGAATGGCGTGGGAACAGAGATGAGAAGGACGGAGACAAAAAAAGGATACAAAATGATGTGGAGGGAACCAGAGGTTAAATCACAGAGGACCTGGAAGGAGTTGAAGGGGACATGGAGATGCACTGGGGCAGTGCAAGCAGGAGGTGATGACAGAGGTCCAAGTGGGGTCGGGGAGAGAAGGACACTGAGAGAAGGCAGGGACATTTTGGTACTACTGATTGGGAAGCCCCTGCTAATTCCCTACTCTCTGTGTTTCATCCTAGGGCACTAAATGAGAATATGGCCAATGACACTGAAGAACTTATTGGGATCCCATTCCCGAACCACAGCAGTGAAGTCCTATGTGGTTTAAATGAGCAGCGGCATGACGGTCTCCTCTGCAATGTCATCCTCATTGTAGAGGATCAGGAGTATCGGACCCATCGGTTCGTCCTTGCTGCCTGCAGCAAGTACTTCAAAAAACTCTTCACTACCGGCACTTTAACAGACCAGCCCTATGTTTATGAGATTGACTTTGTCAATCCTGAAGCACCTTCTGCCATCCTGGAGTTTGCCTACACCTCAACCCTCACCATCACCACTTCAAACGTCAAGCACATCCTCAGCTCTGCCAAGATGCTGGAGATCCAGTGCATTATCAATATATGCCTTGAAATCATGGAGCCCAACAGAGAGGCGGAAGAGGAAGATGACAAAGAGGACGAAGCTGACAACGAAGATGAAGATGAGGAGGGAGAGGAGGAGGAGGAAGTAGAAGATTTTGTCAATCAGGAAAATCTAACCAATGTCCAAGAAGTAAGCTGTCACCAAAGCCCTTCTAAGTCTGATCTTACCGAAGAAGCATATAGACCTAAAGACTTTCCAAATTACTACCCAGCCAATAACTCCTCTGGACACTTGGGTGTGATACGAGACTTCTCCATCGAGTCCTTGCTAAGGGGAAACCTGTACCCTAAGGTGAACATCCCAGAAAGGAGTCCAGCTCTCTCTCCTTTTGCCCCCAGCTTCTTCCCCCATCTGTGGAATGGTGATTTTAGCTCCTTCTCCCAGCTCGAGGAGTCCCAAGTAGACAACAGCCCCTTGGATCTGGTGATCAAAAAGAGGAAGATCAAGGAAGAGGAGGAGGAGGAAGATCAAGGAAGAGGAGGAGAAGGAAGACCTGCCTCCACCACCTTTCCCTAATGACTTCTTCAAGGACATGTTTACCAGCACTCCAGCAGCTCCCTTAGGGCACATTAAGGCAGAGACTGACTACAGCGCTTATCTCAATTTCCTAAGTGCTACCCAGTTCAGAGGAGTTTTTCCTCCATGGCCCCTGGAGGAAGAGAGGAAGATAAAGCCCAAGGCATCCCAGCAATGCCCCATCTGTAACAAAGTCATCATGGGGGCTGGCGAGATGCCCAGGCACATGAGGACCCACACAGGAGAGAAGCCGTATATGTGCAATATCTGTGAAGTCCGCTTTACCAGGTGTACGTTGGTTACTTCTACCATGGGGGTGGGTGGTGGTGGTTGGAGGGGCCATGTCATGACCCATGGCTGACTCCTAAGCTACAAATCTCTTTTTTTCCCAAAAAAGTAGTAAAGAAGGCAGAGCATGTTCTCTACTCCTTTGGAGAAAAAAAAAGGGAAGAAGGGAGAGTGGAAGAAGAAAATGAACCTCCTGATTTTGGTGGTTTGTGGTTCGCATCCACAGCTCGTTGGATCCATCGGCTTGCTGGACAAAAGCTTAAATTAGTAATGGGATATTTTCAACCCCACCGTAGTTCACCACAGTTGGACCAGAGGGAGCTGGAAATCAGATGGTCAAACAGCCAAGGAGGCTTCTTCTCTAATGTGCTGGAAGATGTGTTGAGTTGGGAGGGCCGTTTAGCTGAGGGATGTAATTACTGTAGGTTTGGACATTTTGACAGTGTAGACCACAACCAAGTTGCACATGTTTAGACATGACAGTGGCTGGGGTTTCTGAGGCTGAAGCAGTCGTAATTATTTGACGTTGGTAGCAAGGTTTGGGGTTGGTCTCTTTTCCCAGGCGATAGGACGAGAGGAAACGGCCTCAAGTTGCACCAGCAGAGGTTTAGACTGGATATTAGGAAAAATTTCTTCACCAAAAGGGTTGTCAAGCATTGGAACAGGCTGCCCAGGGAGGTGGTGGAGTCACCATCCCTGGAGACATTTAGAAGATGTGTAGATGTGGCACTTAGGGATATGATTTAGTGGTTGGACTTGGCAGTGTTGGGTCAGTGTTTGGACTGGATGATTTTAAGGGTCCTTTCAACATAAACGACTCTATGATTCATCACCCCAAGCGTTGTCTGCCCAAGAGCCTGGCACCTCAACTGCCTCCATGGGCAGTGGCAAGAGATCGGCACCCTCAAAGGAGCAGATGAGGAAAGAGGATGAGCGGAGTTGTCATCCCTGACCACAAAGACAACTTGTGTGGCTTAGATCAGGGCACCAGGTATCTCAAATGAGGTGAGACCAGTCCCAAACTGGGCTGCTCCAAGGCAGCCATGACCAACCAGACCCACCCCTGGTACCAATTCTCAGCCTTTGCACCTCTCTCCACCCTAGCAGCCTCCTAGATGGCAATAAATTGTTGCAGGCTCCACAAATCTAACGCCGCAGCTTGTGACCCTTCTCCGAAAAGTTGGGCAAATTTAATTGGCAAGCAGAGACAAATAGATTCCTGGACCTGCTCTTTCTGGGTGTAATTAATATCTAATGAGTACAATCTTTACCATAATAATAAAGCTTTCTGACAAGAGCATGGTATTTCAGTTTCTGGCTGCGTGCGAGAGAGAGAGCCCTATTAGGCCGGGGCGAGAAAACCAG